CCTAGTCGACGACAGACGATAAATAATAAAAGAAAATTGGTTCTATCGAAGAGAAAAAGAAATAATTTCAACAATACTTTTTAAATGAGAAAAATTGCCCACACCCTTTATTAGCATATAGTTAATGGCTATGGAAATTAGCAATTGCCACAGATGTCATGGTATATCTCAACGAATTCAATTTAAAATTATAGGGAAATGGTACTCACATGTGAAATATATTCTATTGTGTCTATCTTAAGGCATATCACCCAAAATTTGCATGGTTTGAAATGCAAATAACATTAAACAAATCTGACCATTTTCCATGCTGTAAAAAATTCTAAATATCAACAAAATCCCATTCCCCAAAACATTTGCACAGGCTATATTTTCTGAATTTATACTACAGTTGCAACAGCATTTTGTGGATCTTGAGGCAAGTGCAAAATATATTTCCATGTTTCAATATCCATTTGAGGAGCTTCTCCATCAGACCTTCAATTGGAAGTGAGTGATTTGCAAAATAATGATACGTTAAAAATGATATTTAAAGATCTAAGTTTTATAAATATCTTTCAAATGATACATACGCTCAATTAAAATCGCATTACCTGGGATGAATGAATATCCGTATTTGGGAATACTTAACAAAGCAAAAGACATCTTTAAAAATGAAGTATGTGAAATTGCAATTCAGATCATTATTAACAGATAAAAATTTGCAAACAACTTTAATGGATGGAAGTACTAATTTCAAACTCCAGTACGATGAAATATTATCCCAGAAAAAACAATTACATTCTTCACATTAGAAATTTAATAATGATGTTTCTTAATATGTAAATCTTTTATTCTTTTTTTTTGTAAGTATTAGTAAAATGTATATAAATATTATGTAAAAGTAACATTTCATAAAAAATTATATTTTTTTTTGGGGGGGGAGGAGTCTCTGAGAAAACTGTCCATTCGTATCTTCATGTTTGCTACTTGGCCCACCAAGCCTAAAACTTTTACAATATGGCCTTTTCTAAAAAAAGATTGCTAACCTACAACAATATTAGAAGCGCTTGTCTGTTGTTATTTACACTCTTCATTCAGGAGACAATATGCACATAGATGCCATGCCAGTAAAACATTCTGCGATATCACTAACAACTTAAAAGCATGCATTAATCGTGTAAAGCCAAAAGCAGAGGTAATTCAAGCATTTCTATGGAAACAGACTTCTTTTGGGATATGTTAAAAGATTCAGTTTATACACACACCATCACTTCCACAAACTTTGGTTGAGGTTAAGAATTGCATTATCAACACATTTATAGAAGTAGGATGAAGCTGCTCACTTCCAGAAACTTTGGTTGAGTTCAAGAATTGTATTATCAACACATTTATAGAAGTAGGAGGAAGCTGCTAACACAGTTGTTAACTGTGTTCAAATATCATGTAGACATATGTTGTGTAACCAGAGAAAGCCACATTGAAAATTTATGAATATGAACAAAAACTGAACATTTATTTTCATTTAGCATGACATACTTTTTAAAATACACATGTAAATTTTTAAAGCCAATAATCCCCAGCATTTATTTGTGTATGCTTTTATCAATGTGATCTTTTTACAACAAGGGGAATTTATGACAACAGGATTTCTTCTGTGGCCTTTTAATTAGTCAACTCCGTTATTGATTTACTACAATTTTGGGAATATTTAATGTTTCATAATATCAGAGCTGAAATAATACATTCAATATTGCTTTTAATAAAAAAAAATCAGTGTAAAGCTTTTAAATAATCTTAAAACATATTAAAAAATGCCTTGTTTATTTCAGTTCTTTACAATTTTATTACACACTTTAAATACAATACTTTATATTTAAAATAAATACAATATGAAATTCTGTAACTAAAATAGAAAAAGGGGTTTAAAAAATGCAGAACAGCAATAACAGAAAAAGTAAATTTTTGATATTCTTCTAACACTCAAACATTAACATGTCATTTGCATACAAAAGTTTAATTTTAATTATCATGGAGTTTACATAATTAACACTTTTATTGAAATTCAAGTTATTACTTGTGAACAGCAAAGAAAGCACAACTCTAACTGTTAAATTTTTTAAATTTGTTGATGTTCACTTACAAGAGTGCATATTTAATAGATAATTAAGTAGAAAAAAGTGTACAGAAGATAACATTTGAGACTTTTCTTCATTTCTAAATATAGTTACATTGGCAAATAAATAAAGCATAATACTTCCATATTATGCCATCCCTTTATGTTTGTTTTTGCTCGAGAAAAATTTGCATTTACTTGTTCAGCTTCGGAGAGGCGGTTGAATATAGGATTGGCTGTCAATGGTGGAAGTTGATGTGCAAAATTTTCAAAAATATTTAATTATACAATTGGAAGAGTAGAATAAAAATTACAAGGGCTTGTGTTTGAAATCTGATAAACAATAGCTAAGAAGTTTAAATTTCAAAAGAAACGGTAGTAAATAATAGCTCAAACAAAATATTTTGTTGATTGCAGTTTCAGTGGAACTTGGTCGCACTTTAAAATATTTATTTTTCTCAAACTAAAAAAGAAGTGTTTGCAGTAAATATAACTTATTCACTATTATTAAATATTTACCATTAATTTTCCCTCAAAATTAGCTATAATTATATTCTGCTTTTTTATAATATTAAAAGCAGATTCAATCATATTTGCTATCGTAAACCCATGAAGCTTTCTGACAGCAAGCTTGCAGCACCACTATTTCTAGGGATGGGATAATATGTATATAAATACCAAATAAAATATGGTAATGATGTAGTATGTGATCTACTGCTTTTACTTATTTATTTATTTTGTAGATGGCACCACTAAAATTGCTTGCTTTTTTAATCATTTCTTTTTTCCACCATTTTATCACACAACTGAGTATTAAAAGTTTTTTTAACAAAGCTATTAAAATTTAGATTTCTGCACAACATGTGAAGTACACACAACAGATGTTTCCACATTATCTCGCAGAAGATCCGTTAATAAAAATGATGATTACGTTTTCCTTATATTGTGTAATATCCATAATGAACAACTCATAAAAAAGGCTTTTTTAACCCCTTGAAGACCAGCGCATGAAGAACAAAGTGCAGCCACGGAACCGAATCCCACGAAATGGAAAGTCTCCACCGGCCTACGCATTTTCACCAGTTACGCCTGCTTTTACAAAAAAATTCATATAAAATCCGTATTGTAATATAATGATCTCAGTTTTTGAAGTTATGTACTTAATATGCTAATTTTTAATATGTATTAATAATGACTATAACATTAATAGAAATAAATGAAAATGCAAAGTACAAAAATTATAACTATATAGATGAAAACAAAATTACAAATGCGAAATGTAAAAGAAAATTAAGCAATAATAGGTAGGTAATTAAAATCCAAATTAATAGTTTTGCTGCGTGTGGAATAATTCAACACAAGGATCAACACTGGACAATGATGGCTTTTTTAGATGCAAGATGTATCATGCATTGGGAAAGTTCTGTAATAATGCTGTAAAAGTTACTTTTTAATTAACCCTTTCATGACGGTGCAGCTTTGTTGAAGTGGAATTGTTGTGTCATGCGTATGTGACATTGGTCCTAAATATGTTAAGGGCCTCTCCTGCTTTTGTTTCATGTAATTATAAGAAACTGGTAGAACATAAATTCAAATTTAATGGATTTAAAACATTTAATTATTAAAATTAATTAAGGAATAATTTTTATTTATGTATTCTTATTTTCAATATTTAAAAAAAGCATTTTGATAGTGCCATCTAAGAAATAAATAACTAGCTAAAAGTTGTAGACTTTATATATTGGGCAGAAAATGCAAATTTCAATGGATTATTAAATAAAGATGATTGATTATAATATATGACTTTTCCCCATCCTCTCGAACTAGGAAATTTATAAGTACATAACTTATGTACTTTTTTTATACATATCAGGAATGCCAACATGTCTATTACGGCAACAAATTTTAAATTCATTTAAAATGTACTAAGAGAATAAGAAATTAGGCTGAGTGCTCTAGAAATGTTTATGAGCCTTTTGAAATACCATTTGTACAAAATAAAAATAGCCATTTAATTCAGTGCCTAGATTCCAAACAAGTTTCTTACCGTTCATTGTAGCGATTCTGGCATTCAATCGGTTAGGTTCCCCATATATTATTGTATTTTCAATGTATCCTGAAGAGTCTTTATGTTATAGTTAACTGTAAGGATAGTAATAGTGCTACAATAATACACTAAAGGTCATAATAAATTTGCTAAATTTAAAATTCTAGGTAATGACTAATGAAAAGTCATCTGTTAAGACTCTGACAATGCCTTGAGATTTTACAAAGATTTAAGAGTGCTTTAAAATTTTTTCAGCATAACAATTCCAGATGTCCTTTAATTGCTGCAAACACCCCATTATGTAACTTATTAACCTGCAATTTAATTTAAATTCTTTATTAGGACAAATTAAACTATTATTGGCATCTACTAAGCATTTGTGGTAAAAATGTTGGCCACCTGATACATATGTAAATAACTATAAAATGTACTGAACTCATAATACACAGTTATAATTTAATTTTATAATTTGTAATAATTTTATTTTTATATTTTATCTTTAGGCAATCTCATGCCCCTAACTGATGATTAAAACTTTATTATTATTAATGATAGCAGCTAAAATATTTTGAAATCAGAAGCACAATAAACATATATGCTTTAAAACTATATTGAATAATATGGTACCTAAGTCTAAAATTTATTACAAAAAGTACTAAACTTCACAAAATGTCCAACAAAATTTGAATGTAAAATTCATCATCGTACACTGAACACTGCTACAGAATAAAATATGATTAAAAATCCACTGAAAATACTCAAAATGTGTAATTAAAAATATTATCAATAAATAAATAAAACTCTTTCCTCTGATTCAAGGCACCATAAAGAAATACAAATGGCCATTCAATCTTAAAACTTAGTGTAATAAAATTATAAATTAAAAAAAGTCACAGTTAAATGGAACACACGTATTCAAATACTCCTTAATTAAATAAATTTCCAACTATAATTTACAGACAAAACATTCAGGCAAACTTCTGAAAATATAACTTATTTTATGAGAGAAAACTAAAAAGTAATGCATTTTTGCACCAGAAATAAAGAGGGAACCAAGACATTAATTTTTCTTTCATCATGGCAATCTATTTTCCTATCACACAGCCATCCGGGCATGGTCACCAAAATTACTAAATCGTTCAGCACATTTCCAAATGAAGTAATTCTTTCCAGAAGGCAATATAAATTTTATCAATACGTGAAAATTCTAGAACTTTTAATTGCTTCCCAACTATCAGGAAATCTGGAACTGCCAATGAATCCACCTGCAAACACAGAGGATGAATGTTTGAAATGATTTAATATATTATACTAATATAAGAGAAATTATAATTTTGCACGATGTGCAACGAATGCTCAATAATGTAACTAAGCAGAAAAAAAAAAAAAAAAAAAAAGGATCATATTGTCCTTGTACCACTAAACGCATGATGCAGGAAGATATTAATTTCTGGAAAGAACAGTAATGAAACTAAAAATTCAGCGGAGAGAGTTAAGTCAATTGTCCAAAAGTGATTACATGCCCAGAAAATGTATTTTTCGTATATAAAATACACTAAAACTGGTGCCAAGATGAAAGAAATACCTTAATCATCTGTCCTTTCTAAAACACAAACATATGAAAAAGTACATGTTTTATTTTGCCCATCAATAGATTTCTAGGGAGTTCAAGACACTTTTCAATCCTCCTCCATATTTATAAATCTGCCAAATTTTATATTTTTTAATAAATATTTAAAAAAGAAGTAAATTTTCACCTTTAAAAACCAAAGTTCAATATCTTCTCTTTTAAAAAATGGCAGTTGATAATTTGCAGAAGTCTGTATTCTACACTTGCCTGAGTCAAGGCTATCATTTGATAGTCAAATAAATCACAGTTTTTGTCACTGATGATGAAGAATAGTAGATGTTATTGGCACACCTCTGTGAAAAATGATTAGGCAGTTAAAAAGTGCTCCATTTTGTCCCATCTGTACAACATTTTAAAAAGTCTAAACAATGATAAAAACGAAAGACCAGTTTTAAAATGGGGAAATTTTTTGTCATCACCTCCGATCTGACTGAATATCCCCATTTTGCGCCTCACTGTGGCTGGCAGAATCTGACTGACTACTATCTGTACTATTACCACTGCTACTATGTGGTCCATTTGCTGCATTATCAGATGACACTCTACGTTTTGGCTGGAATTCTGTTATGATAACAGTCACATTGTTGACAGTGACAGCTTTCTGTTGAGCACTACTTCGGTCAATATTCTTTAATCTTGGTCTGAAACACAATCATAAAAGAATGAATAAATGTTTTTATTAACAAGTGATAATATTAACAGCTATGTTTGCAATTAATAAAAATCTTGTAAATAAAAGGCCACATCAGACTAATACAATTAAATGCCACTTTTACAGAAGTTCAGATTAAACACTCCTTTTTTGAGGGGTCACATTTTATTATACATAATTTATTTTGATTTAATACAATTCAATGTTATCTCTTTAAAAATACTCACAAAAGAGTCTGAGAATTCACATTCATAATAATATTGCTACTTACTAAAAATTTCTTAAAAAGTTTTCACTTTGTTCATTTAACTAATTACAAAAAACAACCTCTATCCTTAGCCATCTTTCTAAAGAAAAGGATATTTTTGTGGAGGATTTTCAAAAGGAAACTGCCTCATGTTCTAGTTAGTTACTGAGAAAAATCATAAAAAAGGTCCATTCATTGACATTTGAACATAGAATATCAGCATTCAGCATTTTCCACTTGAATGCTGGTGGACAAATCTGACTTTGAAAAATATATATTTTGCAAATTAAAAACTCAGATTTTTACCATGTAATATATTTTTCCAATTTTATTCAATAAAAACTCTTTCTTTTCGTGAAACCTTACTCTAATTTACTCACTTACATAGAATACAAAAATTAACCCTTTCCGGCACGCTACTCTTTAAAGTTGGAATTTTACCAAAAAAATTTGTAGGTAGTCTATTTAGGTATAATTTTACAAAAGATGCACAAAACCGTTTCCAGTGTGGGTGTGTCCGATAAGTGAACACCACTAAGCCGCACCGACAGCTGCGAAGGTCGAGCATATTGCTGTGAAGTTAGTACGGTATAAACAGTAAAAGTTTACATTTGTCTATGATTTAAAAAACGTGAAGTAGAATCTGATCTCTGTACAGATTTAGCAGCCAAAACACACCATACACGACGACTCCCTATGTTGCAATATTCGAAATAAAAAATTAAAAGTAATACAAATAGGCGAAGCATACGAACAACAAATTATATAAGATTTTTTTTCATGATATTTTCTATTTAACAAAAATCACACATTTCTTCTAACACATCAGTGCCTTTAAGAACAGAATTATCTCACATTAATGATTTGCTTGTGTGGTGCCTGCCATCTATTATTCATAAAAGAGATTAAAAGCAACCATTAGTGTAGTTTTCGTGATATTTATCGATTATTTTCAGTGTCTAAAGAGGGAATATTTTTGGTGTGTTCACACCGAACACACTGCACTGGAAAAAACATTAACATGATGATGATGAACAGAAAAATCAGCAAGTCCATCAGAATTTCTTTAAGCTTTTTCTTAGGAAAGAATCATCATCATTATTATTATTGAAGCTAATCTGACCAATGAAACATTGAATTATAATTCATTCCAGAATTATTATCTCAGACTTTTGTCAAAGTAAAAAAAAAAAAAAAAAAATTAATAGCAACTTAATTAGAATTAAAAATAATCTGGTATCCACATTTAATACTTTTCATGAACTACAGGTGTGGAACTAAAACGACGATGGATATTAGTTTGGTTGGCCATCACACACTTTGCCATAAGCAAAGTATGTGATGGCCATCTGTTTCAGAGAAGTTATGCCATCAAGACTCTCTAAGGGGAACTGGCTCATCTACATTACATATGATGAAAATACACATGCAGCCTTTGAGCCCAATTCAAATTACAAATATTTAGTGACTTTACTGCTAGCATGCTGGTGATTCAATGGGTATGAGTAAATATAAGAATCCTTTCAGAATCTGTGCTTGTTAGAGGCTCTCAGCCTATGCCAAACGACTTCAGCAATTTATCTTATTTCATATTTTTTTCCCAATTTTAATATATACAATTCATAACATATATTAAAATTACAGTCCAATTATTTGGAAAATTATGATGAAGGTAGGATAGATCTTTTGACTTCAAATAAATTAGAAGTAATGCATAATAATGCAAATATTTTCATCTACCTTCATTACAATGAAATCAAACAATTTGGGCATCTTCCAGTTATGCTGAAAAACATGCATAAAGATATAATTTATATTTCTGATTCTGGATGCCATATAATTATTGACAGTCATAACTCATTAGGAGCAATCGATGAAAAAGCTCAGCAAAATACTTTGTTTGAATTAGTATTGAATCCTGGCTTCTCATAAAGATGTTGTTACAACTCGTTTAAGTCGTATTTGACTGGTTATGATTTCATACTTGCAACTATGACTTATCTTTTATCCTCCAAGCAAACTACCACCTCTGATCATTTGGATGCATGTCCTATATTAACTGTTTTTAATTTTAATTTTAAAAGTATTCAAGAACTTAAGTCTTATGAACTAGTAGCTAGAAGAATGCATTTTCAAAATAAATAAATGGGAAAATGTAGAAAAACTTGATTACTTAATAAAAGTACATGATTAGTAACTTGATTAGTCATTAATAAAAGTACATATTTACAGACAACAGAACAAAACTTATTGAATGAAAAATGGAAAATAGTAAAGAATAAGATTTATTATATGTCAGGTATATTTAATTTTATGGTGGTTCAGTTTACAGCAATTCAGATTGATTGCTGGTTTAGAAACGTATGATGTACGTTCATACTACTACTCCCCCCCTAAAAAAGGATTCATTTTTGGGGGGGCTTTTAATTCTGCTGAAGAATATAAACAGTTATTTATATAATACAATGTAAAACTTCTAAATTACACTATAATATCTCTCTTTTAAAGATGAGGGTTACAGAACAGTCACATTTCTCAACATGATGGTAACAGTTCACCAATGGGAAGACAGAAGAGCTAAGGGTAAAATTATATCAGATTTGAAATGAATAAAGTACTTTCTGAACAAAGGTTTAAAAAAAAAAAAGAGAGAGAGATGCTTTATTTATCCTTGGAATGAGCCCAACCAGACAAATCTTAGGAACAGATAGCGAGCATCAAGAGCATCAAAGTAGATAAAAATTAAATACTGACATTATAAAAACTGCAGTTTATCTTCAAATGGACATAAATGATAATTTGGCCAAACATTTTTTTTACATTAATTAAATACAAAAATATTTTACATAAATTTTAGTCAGTAAAAATTACATTAGCATTTGGATGCCAGGACCATTTACACTATATAATGAGGCTCTTAAGTACCAATTCATTTTATAATGTCATTACGAGAAAATAAGAGCTTTTTTTTAAAGTCTTTTTACAGTTATTAACCCTTAGCCTGTCGAGTGATTTTCTACGAATACCTTTAAAAATGTAAAAATGTCAGGAAATAACCAAACTTGATAAATGCCAGCTTGCTATTTTAGTTCGTTACCCTCCCGAAACTGATCAAGGGTTTCGACTGTAATGAGATGGATTCTACCATAAATATAGACCGTAGATTGAGTGTCAAAAAGTTGCAAAAGATGTTCTCGTGATGCGTCTGAATGCTGCAGGGTACAGGGAATACTATCTTAAAGTTTCTTTGCTCTTTTTGAAAAAACTGGCTTTAAAATTACCCGCTCTTTTTTTAATATATAATGTTAATCTAAATTACCTAAATCTCTGGGTCATGATATAGGATTCAATGCAGATGTTATATGCTATTAATAAATCCATATTAAAAATATCTGTGCAATATCTTCTTTCTGTGAGATTAATGAAAACATGGAAAGCAATTTTATAGTTCAATGCATGATACTATTCTGATTTATAAGTTTGTATAAAAAAATCTTTAATCTTTCAACATTTTCTATATTCTTCATTACTGCAGTATTTTTTTAAAATATTTCTTTTATTTATAGATATTTAGGGGTGCCCTCAAAACGGGAATGAATTCCCTGACATTTCCAGGTGTGTTTCAAGAAAATTCCAGCTATCCGCGTAATGTACTTGGTGTGCTGATTAATTATATGGTAGTATTGTATTGTGCAGCAATTCACTAATTATTCTAAATCCCAAGACATTATTCTTAATTTTTTGTATACTTTGTTGATAATTTGTTTTTTTCCACTTAAGAAACTAATAAAAATTTAAGATAGTATTACTGGATAACGAAGGGTTATGTGAATTATTACTCATGATCACCAGTCAGACGCTAGTCTGGGTCCTTATAATCACATCAATGCTAAATAGTTAGGTTAGATTTAGGTAATTTAATTTTGTGAGTATGTTAAAAGGCACTCAACACTGAAAACCAATATAAAGTTGGTTTTTCTCCTGAAGAATGAGATTAGAATTTCCCAATCTAATAAATAAGGCTTTTTGCAACATTCTGCCGCTAAAGAAAAAAATCTTTTAATATATTGAGGTATTTTATATATTCGCAGCTAATAAGGAAAAAATAGTCATTAAGTTCGTGACGGTGTCATCATACGCTAGAATAATTTCAGCTTATGCAAGAAAATTCCTAAATTGAAATATATTTACTAATAATAAATTAGAGGGAAGAGCAACATTAAATATAATAACATCAAAATAAAGATAATACTTAAAATGAATTAGAATATCAACGATATTTTAGGAATAATTACTGGTAGCCTGATTATATTTTTTATTTGCTGCAAAATGGCAGGATTTATTAAAAAAAAAAAAAAAAAAAAAGGTTTAAAAGTTTTGCGGTAAAAATTTCTTTGATATTTTGAAACTTGTCGTAGACCAAAATGAACCATTACATGCCAAATATGTACCAATCCCATTTACAAAAGGAGTCTATAACTAAAGATCTAGATAACTTCGATCTCGGTGCGCCCCCCTACAAAGAAACAAGCAGTCATTTATGCTTGTCGCATCGCGAGTGCAATCAGGCTGTAACTCGGAATTAAAACTCTCGTTGTTAGAGACGTGGCACCAGTTTTTATTTTTGCGATAATCTATCGACGTGTGTCGTGGTTGAGACAAAGCATCTCGAGTGCGTGACACGTCTTTTTAGCGCAAGTGGTAAGAAATTTTAAACGATATTCATTTAGAACTCTTGAAAG